CCAAAGCTCTTGATCAATGCCTGAGATCTTGCCAGAAATTTAGGAGCAGAAATTTTTGTTTGTCTTGAGCTCTTTACTGTTGACCTTCTATAGTGAGCACAAAGTCCCCTTCTCTGAGTTTCCAGGAAAAACAGATCCGGGCAAATTGGGACTGTTCCATGGCAGGAAATGATTGGTTCTCCTGCAACGTTTTGAATATCTGGCATGTGTCTAGGAGAAGAATATTACTAGGAATCCCATTATCAAGACTGTCCTAGATCATTAAGAAAAGCTTGAAGCTGCTTATAGAGATGTTAGAGGTCCTAACACCATCTGTGCAAGAAGTTTATACCACTAATTAACCAGCAAGCTCTTCTTCTAATGTTCCTGCTGGAAAAACAGTGGTGAGCATTTCATCAAGCCTTCCCCAGACCAACCTAAAATTGCACCACTCCTGAAAGAGCAAGATGTTCTATTGTCTGCTACCAGCCAAAACCTGACACATGCCCATTTTCCACCTTGTCTTGCTTTGGGTTTCAAGTGTTGCCAACTCAGCTCCCATCAGACTTGTGAATGGCTCCTTCTCCTGAGTTTCCAGGGGAAGGAGATCCTGGCAAGTTTTTCCTCGGGCTTTCCCTCCCAGGGTTTGCCTCAAACTCTAGTTAATCCTCAGGGAAATCTGCTGAATGGGAAGAGCCTCTATGCCCAAGTCTCCAGACACATCCCACCTTGAAGACACTTCTTTGCACTCCCCCATTAGCAGGCCCACAGCTATTCCCATTGCATTAATGTCTGCAGGACCGGCAGCAGTTCTGAGGTTCACTTTATCTGGTGTTTGCCTGAAGTTCAGACATGACAATGCTTCTTCATGGTCTGGTCCTGATCAAAAGGAAAAAAATAAAAAGAGCTGCTTGCAACTCACCACATTTTCAGCAGTTTCATTTCATGGTTGTTCCTCTTGCCTGGCTGTTGATAAGAGCTGGGTGTCACATCCAGAGTCTCTAGGCAGAGACAAGCATCTCCAGGCCCAATTCGACCATCTGCTCTGGACACCTAGGATGAGATGGGTATCCATCAGCCATGACTCATCAGGGGTGACTGAATCCAGACAAGAGGAATCTCAACTGCTCTGTTTAGGTATTTTCACATTATCTGCCCAAACCATTTTTTTTTTTTTTCCAGTAGACTTTTTTTTCCTTAAGGTTTCTCCCCTTTTCTGATCTCTTTATCAAGAACATCCGATAGACACGTGCTAGGGTAGGCAAAGCCCATTGACCACTTGGTTTGGGACATAAAGAGCAATGATGGACTCTAACAGAGCTCGCAGAGTCTCCTGCCTGGTGTTTTGCTGAATCTCCACACTCTGCAGAGCTCATGAGACTCAGACTAACATCCTGTATTTCTTCTGTTTCAGCTTCCCTCGTAGGAGTCCTGCTGGCAGGTCAGTATTCGTAGTAGAGAGTGGGGCATGAGTCTGGAGATTTAAATATGCTGCTTGGGGCCAAGAGAACTTAGTCTGAAACCTATTTCTGTGCCGAGTGATCTTCTCTCTGTAAACCACATTCTCCTGATTTGCCAATGGAGAAGATCTGACTCTACCTCCTGTGTGCTCTGTGAGATGCAGCTGGTACTTACTGGAGATCTCTGGGCAGAAGGAGCAGTACTGATCCAAAACATCGACAAAACAACTGCTCATTTTAGCAAAGTTAAACCAGAAGTCAGGATATCCTCGATGCTGGGGTCTGATCTCTATGAGATGGAGGAATGCCTGGTGTCCCCTTGGATCTATGAGACAGTGTGGAGGTGTTTCAGGTTTCAGACCCTGGCACTCTTCAACCCCTGAATTTCTCCCACCACAGCAGCACTGATCTGTGCAAAGGGACAATGGTATCTGGAGAGATTTGGTTCTTGATATTAGGGTGGCAAACTGTGTTGTGATCGAAGGTTGGCAACTGAAGCTGGGTTTTGAGAGGGATTCCTGGTGGCTTCAACAGCAGGAACAGGACTGAGTAGGTCCTTTCCACTCCTGAGTGCTGTCTGTAGGTCCACAACAGCACCCAGCAATCACTGCCAATGGCTGAGCAAACCCAACCCTTCCCTGAGGAATGGGGAGAAATGTCTCGATTATCTCCTCCTTTCTTCCAGTCCTTGTAGCAGCGTTTGCTGGGAGACACTGGCCTCAACTATGGAGAAACATACCCAAAACCTGAATGCTGGGATAGGTTTTGGTGGGGCTACACCACTTCCTTTACAGCTGAAAATGATCCCTGTGATTTGTATCTTGAAACAGATTTATGGTCCCACAAACTCCTGTGGCTTTTGGCCATTCCCAACTCAAAACCCAGTTCCCAACCAACAAAGATTTGGGATGCTAGAATCATAGAATGGTTTGGGCTGGAAGGGACCTTTAAATCATCCAGTTCCAACCCCCCCTGCCATGACCAAGGACACTTTCCACTAGACCAGGTTGCTCCCAGGTTGCTAAAAGCCTCACCCACCCTGCCCTTGAACACTCCCAGGGAGGAGCAGCCACAGCTTCTCTGGGCAACCTGGTCCAGAGTCTGACCACCCTCACCATAAAGAATTTCTTCCTAATATCTAATCTAAACCTCTCCTCTTCCAGTTTGAAGCCATCACCCTTTGTTCTATCACTACCTGCCTTTCTAAGAAGTAGGTAGTGTCTCTGTAGAATACCTTGGGCTTTTCTTCCTCCTCGTTTAGCAATAAAGACAGCCTCACTGTGGAGGAAGAGCCCTCTTTCTCATTCCCTGCCTTCATCCTGGGGTGTCTGCTCTCTCCAGAAGATGTAGACACAAACAAACTTGAGATTCGTCTGGTGGGTGGCCCCAACCGCTGCTCTGGGAGAGTCGAGGTGCTTCACGAGGATGTCTGGGGGACCGTCTGTGATGACCACTGGGATTTACTGGAGGCGAAGGTTGTGTGCAAGCAGCGCAGCTGGGCTGTGGGACGGCGCTATCGGCCCCTTGGGAGTCTAAATACGGGGAAGGGAAAGGCCAAATCTGGCTGACCGACATGAACTGCAAAGGGACAGAAGCTTCCCTCACTGAATGCAAGGCGAAACCATGGGGAGAGAACATCTGCAACCACGTGGAAGATGCCAGCGTGGAGTGCTCAGGTAACCCTCCCTCCATCCCCAGTCCTTCATGTGCCCCATGTCCCCTGCCTGAATCAGGGCTGTTTCCAAGCCCTAGTGCACCTCAGTGGATGTCTTCTGGTGGGAACAAGAGGGGACACAGTTGATTAACTCATCCCATCGCTGGGTGCAGTGCTTGCCCAATGACCCAGGGAGGACACATGGATGTAGTTGACCCAGGGGCAGCATTAAATCCTCTCCTGCTTGAGACTGCTCTGGTCCCTTGTCCCACCTCTGGGCTGCAGGGTGTTTAGCATCAGCAGACTACTTGAAGCAGATACACAGTAGAGCCTACAGCCATCCATGAAGACCAGGAAACCTTCCTCCTGGCCTTTTCCCAGAGCTCCTCTCCCTGGTTTTTCTGTCTTCCTTCCCACCCCAGCGAAACCCAGCTGTTGCCAGATCTCCAGTGTGCTCAGAGACACCTGAGCATCTGCTGGGCAGACAAGCTTTCCACAGGTGGTGGAGCATGTAGGTCGTTCCCTTAACATTTATTTTCTGGGCCTGGGTGCAGAAGTGGACATTCCTGAGGAGGGACCAGTCCGGCTTGTGGATGGCCCAAACAAGTGTGCTGGAAGAGTTGAGGTCCTCCACGAGAACCGGTGGGGCAGTGTGTGTGACGACAACTGGGACATGAAGGATGCCAAGGTGGTGTGCAAGCAGGTGGGCTGCGGGTCACCACTGTCAGCTCTGGGAGGTGCCCGCTATGGGCGAGGGTCGGACATCATCTGGCTGGACGATGTTGAATGCAATGGGACAGAAGAGAGCATCTTTGACTGTAAGGCCAGGCCATGGGGTGAACACAACTGCTACCATGGGGAGGACGCTGATGTTGTTTGTGCAGGTAACTACCCGTGACATCTGAAGTGATGTGGGGACAATGTCAAACACTTCTAGCAGAGCCAACAGGCTGGACTGCAAGGGACAGAAGGAGAATCACAAGGCAGGAAGGACCCCCGAGCTCAGGATAATGTTGGTGGAGCAGTGAAATGGATACAGCAGGGAGCTGTAAGGAGTGTAGAGCATCTGGTTAGGATGGACATAGTGGGACCAGCTGGTGGGAGAGGGGCATCAGCAGAACAGAGGCAAATGCACCGGTGACTATGGGATGGATCCTACTGGGGAGATGCTGACACGGAGGTTTTGGGCAGGTCTCCTAAAGGGCAGAAAGAGAGAAGGTAGGGTGGTTTCTGGGGCAGGTAACGACAAGCATCTGTGGGGGCAATGGTGTCTGGTGCAAGATCGGTACATCATAAATACTCAGTAAAGGTCTGAGTTGGACTCTCTGAAGGAGCTGTGCTCTTACTTCCCATGCCCTGTTTCTTGGGAGAGAAGCTTGGACAGGCCCTGCATGGGTGAAGGGAGGAATTTCTGGGGGTCTTTGGCTGGTTTCATTTTGGAGGAGCAGGGCAGTAGGGTCTTGGATTTCACCTGGGTGCTGCACAGGGTCATGCTGTCAGGACCATGTGCTGTAGTCCTCTGGATCAAGCAGTGCATTGTGTATCATGGTCTGAGTCTACTCTTCATGAAATCCTGTTCTGGATCCCACAGGGCCAAATGTTGGGTTCCCAACAGCCCCAAATACATGGGTGTAACTGGACCTGTAGACTTCCTTCAGGAGCAGAGTCCTTGTCACTTCTAGTGTTGTCACTTCCTTCAGTTCTAGTGTCAGACAGCTCCTGGGAGCAGATTTTGCTTTACTTTGCTCCCTTTCTCTGCAGTTAACAAGAACCTGGAGGAGCCAGAAACACCGTGAGTGCCAGACTGGCCCCACTGGATCATGATTATCTTGCCACAGGAAGATGGGCCAGTGAGATTCAACTGAGAAGATGAAGGACAGGGATGTTGCAGAACCATCATTGTGCCATAACTGGCTCCAGGGTTTGGTAAAACCATTCTCTCTCACCCTTTGAAGGATCTACAAACTTGTTTATAGCTACACTAATGGAAAACCCAGCTCCACACATTATTCCTACTGAAAAGCAAACATCGTAAAGTACCAATAAAGTTCCCCTAAAACTGAACATCTGACTGTCTCATAAATTGCTCCTGGACCTCTGCTGCCTGAGCACGTATCTGGCAGGGAGCTGTTGGTCCAACATGATGAATGTTTATGTGATGAATGAATATGATTAATATTTATACCAAATGTCTGCAGAGAAACATTTGCTTCCACTAACATTCATAATCCCAACGAAGCAAAGAGCAAAGGTCTTTATGTCAACATTGAGTGTCTCCAAGTTAGTTGGCCAACCCAAACTAGTTTTATGGGAAGGGCAGGTGACTGGGTCTTCTCCCCTACTTCTCCCCAGACCAGTTCACTCCATTCCAAAACGGGTCTAAAGCAGCTCATATCATCATGCTTTTGGGAGGTGCTCTAGTTCCATGTGGCTCTGGGGAAGGAAGAAATGAGGTGAAGCTGGTGGTGATTTGACCACAACACAGAGCATCACACAGACTCATAGGAACAGGAAGTTCAGGTATGTCTACTTCATTTTTTCGTTGTTTTTTTGTTTGTTTATTTGTTTGTTTGTTTAAAAGAGGTGAAAAGAGGCAAAGAAATGGTTTGAGGCTTGGAAGGAATATCTCAGAGGGCCACAAGGTTAACTCTGTCTTGCTTATGAGAAGGTAAGCTACGTGAGGACTTCACTGCAGTAACTGAACACTTCTGGGGGAAGGGTCTTGGCTACCCAAGGCTGTCCAAGCCCATACACAAGAGCTAAATGTTTATATCCTGTATCCCCACCATCAGCACAAGACAACTTTTATGGATTAGAGGCAACATCAACTAGAGAGGATGAACTGGCATGGGAGCTGTATGACCTATTGGGCAGGGAAGACACGCTGATGTGAGGTGTTGCAAGGATTCAAGTTGACTTCAAGTGCCCAGCAGTGTTCTCAAAATATTCCCTCCACCCTTCAGAGAAGATGCCTGGAAACTTGCCTTGTGGCAGGAATTGTGGCCAGTGGGACCACGTGCAGGCACCCACAGAGGTACCCAAATTAGACACAACATCACTCAAAGGTCATTCTACAACCACAGGAGTGAGAGGCGTCTGAGGTGATTCAGAGGGTAGCTGGGCTGTCTTGCTCCATGCAGTTGCCTATTTGTCTTCATCAACTGAATAGGTTCCCAGGGTAAAGCTGCTCCTGATTTGGGCACACCAGTTTGGTCCTTGCATTTGAGTGTGATCCATCCAATTCTCAGTTGTTTGCATCTGTACTGCAGGCTCTTTGGACTTCAGAAATCACTTTTGCATGGGTTAAATGAATATCATACTCATGTTGGCTGGCAGTATCATCTCTCTTCTCCACTCTGGAACATCTGTGAGGTTTAGATCCCACCTGGAAGAAAATTTATTTATTCCAGACCTGTAAAAGCAGCTTGCTTCAGCCTGACAAGCCACTGAAAGTGACTAATGTGCATGTAATATTTAGTGATATTTAAAAAATGCAAATAGGAGAAATGTCACATGGAGGGATGGGAATCAACCCTCAAAACTCCACACTCCAACTCCACACCTTCAATGTCACCACGTGGTAATGGTCTAAGACAAGAAGATTAGGCTGGGAAAGGATGAAGAACCACCAGCCCCAACATCCAGCCTAGAAGCTTAGTATCAACTAACATCCAGTAGAACAGGACATGGAAGAAAGTTACCTGAGCATACGATGCCTGCATCTTCTCCATGATTACAGTTATGGACTCCCCAAGGCCTCGCTGCGCAATCAGAGAGGGTTCCTTCTCTACCAGAGCATTTCACTTCATCCAACCAGATACGGCCAAAACCTTGCCCAAAATAAGCTGAACCTGGGGCAGACATGGCCGTCCCACAGCCCAGCTGCTGACACACCACTGCAGCATCTCTCAAGTCCCAGCTGTCATCGCAAATTGTCCCCCACTGATGGTTATAAAGCACCTCAACTCTCCCGGCACAACGACTGGGGCCATTTACCAGCCGGAGTAGAAGCACTTCTGGAGTAACTGCACAAAAAACAACCAAAAAGGATAAATGCACACAAATATACTGCACCTGAACCTGCTGACACCTTGTAGGGGATAAGTCCCAAGCAAGATGTCCCATGGATGAAGAACAGATGCCTAAAGAGGACATTTTGGGTGTCTTTTCAGGGTTACCTCAAAGTCTGTGTGGCTCTGCACTGCCCACAGACTATCAGAAATGTCCCAGTTAGGACTGGGAGTGGTATTTCAGTCTCCCAGTTGGTAAGACGTGCTAACACATCCCTTCCAAGCAGGCACGTTTCAGATGGTTTGTTGGAATCTCTGCCAGTGCTACAGTGACACAGGACCCTGTGTCTGCCCTGTATAAATACCACTCTGCTGGGCTGAGCTCTGAAGTAAAAATCTAATGTCATCTACAGATGAAATCTGCACAAAGGGAGTGATTCAGAAGTTAGGTGTCTTTTCCCTTCTGAGATGTGCTGGGGCTTTGTTGTCCTCCAGCCATCATGTCAGAAGTGTATGGTTCTCATTGCTCCCGGATCATATCAGCCAGGTAGATGTTTGCTACTTATATATACGTTGAGGGCCACGAGGATGATCCGAGGGCTGGAGCAGCTCTTCTGTGAGGACAGGCTGAGAGAGCTGGGGCTGTTCAGCCTGGAAAAGAGAAGGCTCCAGGGAGATCTTATAGCGGCCTCCCAGTACCTGAAGGGGCCTACAGGAAAGCTGGGGAGGGACTTTTCATAAGGACAACTAATGACAAAACAAGGGGAAATGGGTTTAAGCTGAAAGAGGGGAGGTTTAGATGAGATATTAGGAAGAAGTTCTTCACTGTGAGGGTGGTCAGACTCTGGACCAGGTTGCCCAAGGAAGTTGTGGATGTCCCCTCCCTGGAAGTGTTCAAGGCCAGGTTGGATGAGGCTTTGAGCAACCTGGTCTAGTGGAAGGTGTCCCTGCTGCTGGCAGGGGGGTTGGGACTGGATGAGCTTTCAGGTCCCTTCCAACCCAAACCATTCTATGATTTATGATATAGAATTAGGTACCTATGTCCAGGAACATGATGCGTGCCCAAATAAACTGGGTCACATATGTGAAGCTTCATAATGTCCATCAGTGAACAGACTGGCCAATGCCCATATTCCTGAAACTTTCTTTTGGCCTTACACATTTTTCTCCACTTACCACAATATTCACTATATGTATTCCGGATAATATGGAGGAAGCACATTATACTAATCTGTATTAATAGACACTCACTATTCCTTGAAAACTCTCACGGCTGATAAATTCAAGTGACTTGGACAATAAATGGTCTTAAAAAGCATCAGCCAACCCTTTCCTGCCCTGAAGCAGTGTGCAAATAAAATTAGTCAGAAGAAGAGGTTAAAATTAGATTTTTAAGAAAAGATCTGTCCTGTCCATAGTTGAGAACCCAGCACTGGGTGACAGCATTTCAACCAGCTCAGCTGCAGGCATGTACTTTGCTATGTTCATGGTGGGGCAGATGACTCCTCTTGAAAGAGCATTGAGTTCTCCAGAAGTTTCCTAAAGCTTTTCATGGAAGGAAGGAGGGACTTCAGGAAAACTTCTCACTCTGACACCCCAGAAATATAGAAAATAATGTCTAAAAGTTGAGAAAACAGGGTGCCTGATTTTAAAGAAAATGTTGGGATTGTATAGGATTGTCCTGAAAGATTATTAGACTAGGTTTCCAAGCCTGGATAAAGGTCTGCTGGTCTGACCTCATATCTAACCTTGCTTTGAGCAGGAGGCTGGTGTAGAGACCTCCTGTGGTCCCTTCAACCTGAATTATCCTATGAGCCTCTCAACAAATTGAGAGGTTTCTTCAGGGCTGCAGATTACAAGAGACACTAGAGAGAAAACTGAAAAAGCACTTAAAGTGCTGCAAAGACACATTCAGTGGTTTCAAGTTTCTAAAATTCTCTATGAATCCTGAAATGGGTCATTTTATTGCTTCTTGTGATAGCATGAAGCAGACTTCTGAATCAGCCAGAGACCAAGATTTGCCAACACCACTGCTTAGTTTTACCTTTGATGTTCATGTAAAAGTATAGACCCTGAGGTGACTTTGCCTA